AAGTGGTGTTCGATAATTCAAGACCCGAGACAGCATACGATTCATAACATAAACTGCATGTACAATTGCTTCAGGCCAGAAATGTTTAGGAACAGATGCACCAATAAGCAAAGTGTGAGCTGTCTCCAGGATATGACGATTTTTCCTTTCCGCCACCCCATTTTGTTGTGGGGTATTCGGACAGGTAAATTCATGAACAATTCCACGATCTTGTAGAAATTGGGATAATTAAGAATTTATGTACTCTCCATCATTGTCAAAACGCAAAACTTTAATATCAGATGAATATTGAGTTTTAACCATATGAAGAAATAGACGAAACACATTGCATACCTCACTTTTATTTTTCAGCACATACAACCACGTCATACGGGTGCAAACATCCACAAAAGTAACAAACCACTTAATTCATGAAGTAGTACTAATAAGGGAAGGCCCCCACACCTAAGAGTGTACTAACGCAAATGGAAAGACCTTCTATTCATACTTGAAAGGAATGAAGTACGATGACTTTTGGCTAAAATACATGCTTCACACTTCAATTTTGAGTCTTCGGAACAAATTAGGTAACGTATGCTTCAAATAACCAAATGATGCATGCCCTAAATGACGATGCAACAAAAATACCTTTTGTAGATTACTATTACACGACGCACGAACCAAATTAGCTCTTCCAGGAACCATATCATCCATATAATAAAGCCCCTCTCTCTTAGTGCCATGCCCAATGATCTCCTTTGTCTAAATATCCTGAAACAAGCAAAATAAGGGATACATTAATATAACACAATCCAATTGTTCAATGACTTGTGATACAGACAATAAGTGATGGGACAAGGACGGAACCAATAAGAAATTATATAAGGGAAGAGAGGGTGTAGACACTGTTCCTGCTCCAACAACATGAGCAGTAGTACCGTTGGCAGTTGCCACACACTTTCTATAAAGATGTGTCATGGATTGAAACAAAGTTATATCATATGTCACATGATCTGTTGCCCCAGAATCCAAAATCCAACCTATATTCACCATTGCAATACCACTCGAGACTGCAGTACACGATAATCACTGATATGCAACAATTATACCAATACGTGATAATTGAAGCAGGAAAGCACGATGACAAGTATACAATACTATTGTGACAATTCTCTATATCGAAAACAGTCAACATCTATTACTTCATCTGATGCAACACTCATGGAAAAGGCAAGACCCCATGGTTTCACACGCTGCCCAAGGCAGCAAGCTGCTACATCAATTCTTTTTTTTTTTACCAACACAACTTTACACGGTGCAATAAGGGAACAAACAGCAACAGAAAACCCTTTATAATTGTTTTGGTCAACATCAACGACAAAAGACAATGCAGTGCCATTTCCCACACAACATGTCAGACGGTGCAACAGAGCACACATTAATCTCCAATCAGATAACGAGCAACCGTACACAAAGAACAACTAACCAATACGTTATTATTGTAATTATAACAATTACTTTAACACTTGCTGCACTTACTCAACAATTGTATACTGACTTGTACTTTACAACACCCACAAATACGATCCGACAACTAGCAGCAAGTATGACGCGTACAAGGAATACAGCCACAGACAGGCCAAGGTTACGGTGATGGGCTTAGTTACAGCCATAACAGTACACAGGTTTTTGTTTAGTGTTTTGGATCGAAAATTAGCTCTTGATACCGAGAAGAAATACATCAAAATACTTTGCTATATTATTCATCATCTAGGGTTTACAAATATATAGGCAAGGAAAGTAATTACAAATAAATATGGAAACTAAATCCTAAAGATTAGATATCCTAATCCTACTTAAAATAAGACTCAATAACATTTACAATTAAGACTTAAAACAACACTCCCTCTCAAGTTGGTGCATAGATATCAGACATGCCCAACTTGATAATTGAGTCTTGGAAAACCTTACTAGATACTGCATGAGTAAGAACAGCAGCCAACTGCTCTCCTAAACTCACAAACGGTATAAACACAATCTTCCTTTCAAGATTTTCCTTGATAAAGTGTCGATCAACCTCCATATGCTTTGCTTGATAATGTTGTATCGGATTATCAGCTATTTTCCTTGCAGATTTATTGTCACAATATAACTCTATAGCCTCATTTGGTTTAAAACCAAAACATCTCAAAAGTTACGTAACCAAAGAAGTTCACATATTCCATGGACCATACCTCTATACTCAGCTTCTGCGATGACCTTGACACCACATTCTGCTTTTTACTACGCCACGTAACCAAATTACCTCCAACAAATGTAAAATACCCAGATGTAGATCGCCTGTTAGTAACATTGCCAGCCTAATATGCATCTGCAAACCCCTCAAACTTTAGATGTCCATGTTTTCCATAAAGTATTCCTTTACCAGGTGCAGACTTGAGATATGACAAAATTCGCATTACCGTAACCATGTGATCTTCACTGGGTGAGTGCATAAACTGATTTACAACACTTACAGCATACGCAATATCAGGACAAGTATGAGATAAATAAATTAACCTCCATACAGGTCTTTGATATCTACCCCTATCAATAGGAACCTGATTTGGGTAAATACCCAAGTGATGCTTCTCTACCATAGGAGTATCCATAGGTTTACCCCCTAACATACCAGCATCTTTCAACAAATCTAACACATATTTTCGCTACGATAAGAAAATTCCTTTTGGAGAACGAGCAACCTCAACTCCAAGGAAGTACTTCAATTCTCCCAAATCTTTCATCTGAAATTTAGATGCAAGATTTATTTATCTGTAACTTCTGAATTTCTTCAGTTTCGACAAGCACATCATCGTGAACTTAGACCTGGTACGATCATTAACCCAGGATCAACACTATCGAGCTGGAACTCACACGGTACAGTGGCCATCGCCACTGTTCTTGATGATTTCTGATGAACCCTAGTCGATTCTGACCAAGGTAGGCTTCGGGGTCCCTTCATTTCATTCCATTTTTTTAAAAATGTTAATTTCTGAACTTAAATGTGCATTGTACATGTGATTTGAAGCATAACCATCATGACGAAGAATTTCCAGAACTCGTGACCATTTCGCCACTTTTAGATCAATTTCCCGGTCACCACCGGCCACGACTAGGCCTCCAATGGGTATAGTCTTATTCCCTATGTTTCTAACTTCACTTTGGTTTTTGAATTATCGAAATTGGTTTAGAATCGAGCTCGATAGGAGCTCTAGAAGTTAGATTGAAAACTTGTAAAACGCAAGTTCTCGCCTGTGCAGCCACCTTGTGATGGCGCTGGGAGGAACCTGAGGTCCCTCCTTTGGTTCCTCGATATGCCAGACCCGAATCCGCCCTCAGTTTTCTGAAATTTCCGTTGTTTGGTAAAATTTCCGTTAAGGGCCGCCACTTGGTTAGTAAATGAATCAACAATTTAACTGTTGGATTGTCACCAAACTTTGATACGTTATAGTACGTAATATTTGAGGATATTAAAAACTTACAGGTCAGGAATCTGACTTACGGATCTTCTCGAATTGGATATGTAAGTTACGTGTTCTATTCATAAGAATTCTGAGACGTAATTTGCTAATTGTTCTAGGCGCCGATCTTTCGTGATGCCTCGATATTCATGCTAGGGAGTTGTAGCGCGGACCTCAGGTGAGTGGGTCTTTTTCCTTTTTATAGTGTGTGTGTGTAAACTTTATAGTTTCCACAAATGCTTTGAACTGAGTTATGCATATCATGCCATGATTAAATAATGTTATATTTAAAATGTTACATTGTTATGAAATTGTGAAATGCCAAACGATCCCACGGGATGTGCATGTAAGTTCATGTGACTTTACTTTGTGATTGGAATTATTGCATCATATTGGCATGCATATATTCATTTAGAGCTCATCATTGCTGCACTCCGGTGTTAGTGCTCCTGCCTTGGGCCAAGGCATAGTCCTTCACGTGATGTTCACCTCTTGCATCGCACGCTCGCTTTGGATCCAAGTTTGGTCCCAGCCTTGTCGTACAGACTGCATTAGGCAGTTCTGACTCGTATGTAACCCGCGATTTATCGCTAGCCATCACGTGATCGTAGAACTAGAGCGTACATATTTACACCCAACCATATCATACAAGTCACACTAGGTGACTCCGACTCATGTGCAAGCATAGTTTGATGAGCAGTAGGTCCAGTCGTACATGTCACATTAAGTGACTCCGATTGGCATGTTAGTTTAGATAGATTTCACACCTGGTTTACATTTATTATTGTTGAGACGTTGTTTCACTGCGCTTGTGCATTCATTTTCATACTTACTTAGTATTATTATTTTTTGGAAACTATATAGGTTTTACGGCAAGGGGTTATAACATTTTCAAAAGGTTTTTATTAAAACTTTATTTTCAGGCCCACTCACTCTTGTTTTTGGCCCCTCCAGGTTCTAGTAGTAGAGTTTTCGTACCGACGAGGATTTTTGGCAAATCTTGGTGTAGACGATTACCATCGATGGTATTATTCTCACCCTATTTTATTGTACTGTACTTATGCTCTTTCATCACGTGTGAAATGAGTTCATACCTGCTTACCGCGTACTCTTGTATTTAGGCACTTTTAGGTTTAAATTTATTCACATCTTCCACATCACTACACTTTATGGTTTCGTCACCTTCCAGGTTTCGGCCAACACAGCTTGATTGGGAGTCCTAATGGACATCCCGGGTCAGGGTGTGTCAAAATTGTTGCTCAGGTTCTGAATATTAAATGGCATAATATTCGTACATTCTTGATTGAATAAAAAACCATGTTATCTAAATCACAAAGACTTGTTAATATGGCTATAGAATATCCAATCTTGATTATGAAAGTATTATGATTAAGTTCATCATTCACAGTCTTCTTCAATCCAAAAAGTTGAAGGCTGTAACATATGGTTTTGGGGTATAAAGATTAATCATGCATGTGATGTGATTCAGTGATGAACCTTACCTCTATGAGTCTCAACACGATGGAACCACTTACTAGAATGAACTACAAAAATTGGAAGCAGGACTTGGAGATTGTGTTGGGAGTCATGGATATGGATGTTGCATTGAGACCAGATGAGCTTTCCATGCCAGCTAAAGTATGCTCTATGCTCTTCGAACCAAAGGTTCAAGTATAAGAAGTGGCAAAAATCCAACAGGATCTTTATCTTGATCTTTAAGAGATTCATAAGTGATGTTGTGCATGATGGATTTCTAGAGGCCACGAATGCTAAGGAGTTCTTGAAATTAATTGAAGAAAAGTACAAAGAATTTGACGAAACCGAGATAGACAACCTGATGAATTCACTCACAACTATGAGGTATGATGGCATTGAAAGTGTACGTGAGTATATTCTGAATTTGATTGATATTGCTGGGAAGTTGATGGTTTTGGAGGTACCTATATCTAAAACCTTTTCAGTGCTTGTTGATGTTGCCAAAATATGCAAAGCCAAAAATGCTCCTTCTCCCCCTAAGAGGACCTTCAAACCTAATAACCTATCGGTTTTCAAATGCTCTTTTTGTAAGAAGTTTGGTCACATGAAGATAAGTGCCCTAAGTATAAGGCGTGGCTATCAAAACAAGGAGCCAAGAAAGGTAAAAATATATTTGCTTGTTTTGAAAGTAATTTAATTGATATGCCTAGTGATGCTTGGTGACTTAACTCTGGCTCTTCTGTTTATGTTATGAACTCATTGCCAGACTTCATAACTAATAGAATTCCAACTAAAGATGAAGTCAAAGTGTCCGTTGGCAATGGAAGAAGAGTTGAAGTCAAGGCTATAGGCACCGTTAGGCTTAAGTTTGATTTTGGTTTTTATTTTGATTTGGAAAATATCGTTTATGTACCTTCTATGAGAAAGAAGTTAGTTTCAGTTTCAAGACTAGTATTATTGGGTTTTTATTTTACTATAAATAAGATTGGCTTCAACGTTTTTTATAATTCTTCCCATGTTTACATTGGTTCACTAATTGATGGGATGTTTAAGTTTAAATTGAAACTTGATCAAATTGTTTTAAACGTGGAAGACCAAAAATTTAAGCCACAAAAATCTTCAAATCTTTGGCATAAAAGGCTTTGTCACATTTCAAATGGAAGAATGGAAATTTTGGTTAAAAATGAAATCTTGCCTTCGTTAAACTTTGAAGATTTTGATTTTTGTGCAGAGTGTGTCAAAGGAAAATTAACTAAGTCTAGAAAAGAGGGATCAACTCGTAGTAATCAAATTTTGGAAATTATTCATACGGATATTTGTGATCTTTTTCCAACAAAAACCATTGAACGAAACAAGTATTTTATCACCTTCATTGACGATTTTTCTAGGTTTTGTTATGTGTACTTAATTTCTGAAAAATCTATGGCACTTGAGGTTTTTAAAATTTATAAAAATGAAGTAGAAAACCAATTGGAAAGGAAAATAAAGATTGTAAGGTCCAATAAGGGAGAGGAATGATGTGGCAAATATGATCAAACAGGTAGGCATCAAGGGCCATTTGCCATTTTTCTACAAAATTATTGGATTGTTGCCCAATAAACTACCCCAGGAACCCTTGAGCAAAATGGGGTGGTGGAGAGAAGAAATAGGACATTACTTGATTGGTGAGAAGTATGATATGCAAGGTAAACTTGCTAGAATTTCTATGGAGCGAGGCGTTGAAAGCTGCAAGCTATATCCTCAACAAAGTTCCTACAAAATCAGTGGAAGGAACACCGTTTGAATTGTGGGCAGGGAGGAAGCCCAGTTTGAACTATCTCCACATTTGGGGATGCCAGGTGCTAGTCCTCGAGCAAAACAAAGAAACAAAACAAAACAAAAACACAATCTAAACCTTCCAACATTTGCCTCAGGTATTTCCAATGCACATGACATGTTAAAAATCATCACTCCCACAGATTTTAGTCATCTTCACACGCCACAAGCACTTACATTTTGTACTTTTGGTCCTTCCACAACCTGAGAAAGAATAGTAGTAAGGTTAGCCATTTGACTTTGAAGTTCGGATATGGCATTTACCTCGTTCACTTGGTGTTGCCGTAGGGTACTCCTTTGTCCAACACATTCGTATTGTTGAGCGTTCAACGCTCGATTAGCTATCAATGTCTTTGCAGCCGTGGGGGTCTTGTCCACCAAAGCTCTTCCCATTGAGGCATCTAGCATTTGACGTTCGATTGGTAGAAGCCCCTCGTAGAAGTATTGTAGAAGAAGCTCCTCCTTCATTTGATGCTGTGGACAAGAAGCAACAAGAGATTTAAAACGTTCATAATACGTAGGAAAAGACTCACATTCATCTTGTTGAATTCCACTTATCCTTTTTCGTAGGAGAATGACTCGAGAAGTTGGGAAAAACTTCTCCAAGAAAGCCCGTTTCATGCTCTCCCAAGATGTGACCGTTCCGAGAGCTAATTCATACAACCAATCTTTCGCATTTTCCATGAGAGAAAAGGGAAAGGCCTTCATCTTCAATATGCTCCCGTCAACATTGATTGGAGTCATGCTTGAACACATCACCTCGAACTCTTTCAAGTGCTTGTTAGGATCCTCAATGGACAACCCATGGTACTTTGGAATGTGGTGTAGCAAACTTGACTTCAACTCGAATTCCTCGGTCTTTCCTTGGGCAGCCGCGGGATATTGAATACATAGAGGTGCGGCATTGTCCAATCCCGAAGCCGAAAGCTCCTTGATTGTACGATTGTTTTGTGCCATGGCTTTCTCCACTTCACCCACTCTTGCCGTGGGTTCCTCTTCCTCAAAATCAAGTTCGGCTTCTGAATTTGAACTTGATTCATTAGGTTCTGGATTCTTCCTCTTTCATCTCAACTCTCGCTCAAAATCGTCGTCAAAGTCCAAGATGTGTTCACGAATCGGATGAGAACTCCGAGTCATAAACTAGTACCTAAACCAAGAACCAAAACAAGGTCAGAATCTGGAACAAATTAAAATAAACTGAAATAAAACAATCCAAGGGACTAGCAATGTTGCTAATCCCTGGCAACGGCACCAAAAATTTGATGCGAAATATATAAGCACACAAATTAACCCTCTTTTTATCAATTGTAGCAAAGTATGTAAGTAGGGATCGTTCTAGGCCGGGGATTAGGAGGGATTGCTAAATCACTTGAAAACTGACTCAAAACGTAAAAACAAAGTTTAAAACACTAAACTAGACTCAAAGAATGCAAAACTAAACTCTAAAACACTAAAACAAACCAAAAGACTCAAAACAGCCCAGAAACACTCAAAACTGCCTTAAAAACACTTTCTGGGCAGTTTTGAACACAAAACACAATTTGGACGAAAATAGGTTATAACTTGACTCAAGACACTTAAAAACACAAACTAAATTGATTTCTAACTAATCTAACACTTTAAAATAAATGGGGAATTGGTTTTGACGAAAATTGAAAACAAAAACAAAACTTGTAAATTGAACAGATTCTAAAACGAATTTGATAAAAGTGAATGGATGGAAAGCTAGCTAAGGGGTTCTTCTCCACACATGTCACACTTGCATACAAAACGATTTCCAATTGCTTCTCAATAAACCATGAATTCCCAACACCCCAGATTAACCGTGAATTGCACTAATTAACCCTCAGATTTTCCTTAAGTTATTGAATTGGATGAATTGCATACGACAACCCAAAGCATTCCCCACAAGTTCCTTACATGAATTGCATAATAGAGATACAAGCAAGAATCATTAAGTTCTATGAAAATCATAAGCATTGGCGAAGTACTCGTTACTATGAATTGCATGAAACTTATGCCAAGAATTTACTTAACACGATTGTGATCAACAACTTTTACTACTTGTGAATATAAGTTCATAACGATTAGGTGAAATTTCCTTATATTCTAGCATTAGATTTATGCATGACAATTAAGCGTGCACTCTCAACCAACACATACAAATCAGTTTAATTCAAATAGATAAGCAAATTGAATCCACAACTTATGAAATGCAATTAGAAGTAATCAAATCATATAGCAAGCATAAACATGGTTTCGAATCCCCCCTAGCCAAGGGGGGGTTTAGTTCCTAGATACTCTAACTTGGACAGCAGGTGCATCCACAAGTCTTCTTTCCTCCTTGCTGCGACACTTGGTCTAAAGTCAGGTTCTAGGGTGGTATTTGTATGGGAGAATGGGTAGGGAATGGTATGGAAGGGTTTAGGATTGATGGGGGGTACGGCTAGGGTAAAAAGAATCAGAAAAATATGGAAGAATGGTGAAGGAAGGCAGCAGCAAAGAGAGGGAATGATTTCTGGCGAAAATTCTGAATATGGAGGGGGTGGTCTCCACGGCATAGAGTGAAAACATATATATATAGGCACCACAAACCCTAGAGAAATCAGGTTAGGCAATGGGCTAGGGTTTAGGTGCGGCAAGGGGTGAAAATCCACAAGGAATTAGGGTTTTGGCCCACTTAGTTTTAGAAAGGGATTTGTATAACCCAAATCCACAAGGAAAAGGGCCTAACAAGTCAGAATCCAAGAGGGATTTGGCTAGGAAGGTGCGGCCCAAGTCTAAGAGGGTACGGATAGGTCATCTAAAAGCCCAAAGCCAAGAATAAAAACTCTCAAAAATGGAAACCTCCAAGAATAGAAACTTCCAACTTTAGAAACTTTGGTTTCCAATTCTGAATTCTTTGTTCTTCACTTTCATTTCTTCATTTCTTAAGCTCATTTGTCCTTCAAACTCGTCCATTCCTTGTGCTCCATAAGCATACACTCCATTCCAGCTCAATTTTGCTCTAAAATGCTCAATTTTGCACTTCTTTGCATACTTTGTCTCTAAAACCTGAAATTGCACGAAAATGACTTTAAACACTAAAATAACTAAAGAAAAACAACATAAATGCACAAGAACAAGCCCACTAAGTCGCATAAATATGCTCCTATCACCAGGCAGAGGTGAAGATTTACAACCCAAATGCCAAGAAGCTAGATGTCAAAATCGTAAGTTGTTATTTTGTGGGGTATGTAGATAGATCAAAGGGGTATCACTTTTATTGTCCTAATCACAGTAGCAAGATTGTTGAGACTGGAATGGCCATTTTCTTCGAGCATTTACAAGAAGAAGATCCTGAAATAAATTTGAAGGGTTCTATCTCGAGGAGATAGACACTGATAAAACTAATGTTAACTTGGACCACAAACAATAATGATCGACATCATTGGGCATGCAGAAGAAGAAGGAGGCATTGATGATCATGAAGCAGTAATTACAAGTGAAGTGGAAGAATTTCAAAATGAACAGTTTCAAGATGATGCTGCATCAAATAATGATGGTGAAGGCACGAATGAGAATGAGCAGTAACCCATTCAAACCTTAATCCTAGCGCAGCATGTTGACATTCCTTTGACAAAGTTTACTAGGGTAAGAAAGCCTATTATTCTTAGTGATTTTGTACATGGCTGATTGTGAAGAAAATTTATCAGAGTTTGAAGACCCTACTACCTTTAAGGATGCAATCTCGAGAGACAACTCAGACAAGTGTATTGAAGCCATGAAAAATGAACTCAATTCGATGTACGACAATGGTGTATGGGCATTAGTGGAACCTTTTAAGGGTGTCAAACCCATAGGTTCAAATGGGTGTTCAAGACAAAGAGAGACTCCAATGGTAATATTGAAAGGCACAAAGCGAGATTAGTGGCGAAAGGATTTACTTAAAATGATGGTGTGGATTATAAAGAGACTTTTAGTCCAATATCAACCAAAGATGCTTTTAGAGTGATAATGGCTATGATAGCACACTTCGATTTGTTTTTGCATCAAATGGATGTTAAAACGATTTTCTTAAATGGTGATTTGGAGGAGGACAAATATATGTAACAACTAGAAGGGTTCCAAGAAAAGGGGAAAGAGCACTTGGTATGTAAACTTAAGAAATCCATATATGGATTAAAACAAGCGTCACGACAATGGTATTTGAAGTTTCACCATGTAGTTAAAGAACATGGTTTTATTGAAAATCCATTTGATGCTTGTATTTATTTAAATACCAATGGGAGCAATTTTGTAATCTTGGTGCTTTACATTGATGATATTTTGCTTGCTGCCAACTCTCTTAGCATGTTGGATGACACAAAGTGTTTCATGAAAATGAGCTTTGAAATGAAGGATTTAGGTGAGGCAAGGTATGTATTGGGAATTGAAATCAAAAGAGACAGACAAAAGGGTTTGCTTGGATTGTCACAAAAAGGATATATAGAGAAAGTTCCGAAGAGATTCAACATGTTGGCTTGCAGCACTACTGAGTTACCTATTTCAAAGGGTGACAAGTTAAGTAAGGAGTAGTGTCCAAAGAATGATTTGGAAAGAGATGCAAAGAAAGACAAACCATATACATCATTAGTAGGAAGTCTGATGTATACGCTAGTTTGTACAAGACCAGACCTTGCATTTATAATAAGTGTTTTGGAAATATTTCAGTCCAACGCTGGAGAAGCACATTGGAATGCAAGGAAGAAGGTTTTAAGATATTTACAAAAGACAAAGTCACATATGTTAGTTTACAGGAAGACTAATCATTTGGTTCTTGAAGGGTATAGTGATTTAGATTTTGTAGGGTGTCCAGATGACCTGAAATCAACATCTGGATATGTTTTTATGATAGCTGTGGGAGTTGTTTCATGGAGGAGTGTCAAGCATAACACAGTGGCATCCTCCACGATGGTGGCTAAATACCTTTCTTGTTGTGAAGCTATAAATCAAGCAGTTTGGTTAAAGAATTTCATCACTGGCCTTCGTGTAGTGGACTTAATTTCAAGACCTGTGCAGCTTTATTGTGAAAACAACGCTGCAATCTTTTTCACAAAGAATAACAAAAGGTCCAATGCAACAAGAAACTTGGATATCAAATTTCTGGTTGCTTGTGAAAAGGTGATGGAAGGTTTGGTGAAAATTGATTATTTGGAGACAAGTTTGATGATTGCAGACTCATTGAATGAGGTTTTACCTGCTATGATGTTCAAGAAACATGTGAAGAAGATGGGAGTATTGGTTGATTTTGATATCGAAGAATAGGGTGAGTGAAGGTGAATGCTTTTATATTTTGTTCTCTGATTACAGTATTTTGGTTTTTCATATTACGTGCATAAAGACTTTGTAGTTCAATTATATGACCTAATAAAGTATCGTGCTGATTAGTTGCAAAGGTTTTCCCAAAAAAAAATGCAATTTTTAGCTATGATGTAGTACATTAAATTTTTATGAAACAAAGCAACTTAAGGGCTTCAATTCGAAGCAACAAAGGAGGACTAGTATACTAGTCTTAAAGAGGACCTTAATGGAAGATGTACAGTAGAAACATCACATTTTATATATCTTTCATTATTTTCATATCTTGTTGGAGTTTCTTGTGATTGCTGATTTCATGATTGTAATTCTGGGGATAATATTTGTGTATTAAGATATGATTCCCTTTAGTTCTTCATGGATATTAGTTTTTGACTGAAACTTGTAATCGTGGATTTCGTTAATACTAAACTCATGGCCATTTAAGTATGTTCTCATATCAATAAATATTTGTATTAAACAAGTGTTGGCTCTAGTGGGATAATGTAAGTCTAATGAGAGCTGCACACTTGTTTAGCACGTGCATGAGGGATTGAGATCATAAGAGTTTGTGTATGACAATACTTGTTGGTTATTAAGGAATGTATAAAGACTAAAAAATAACCTAAAGAAGTCCCGGTGCAATTGATGTTAACCATTTTGATATGGATGATTTGGATATTGGTGATAAGGGTTATCAAATTGATGACTTTGATAAGGATTACATGATGGGAAGTATCCTTATCAAAGACCACTGTTTACATTATAAATAAAGTGTCCCTACTCTCGCACAATACATGCAAATAGAAACATCAAGCCCTATTGATTGACAGTGCATATAGATAATGTTGAGAGGAAAAGAACCCTTATTTTCTGCTACTATGACTTCACAAGGTTAGTGGTTAATTGGATATGTTGAGTTCTTTTATTTCCGCTATATTTAAACTTACAAGAATCACTGTAGCGATAGCGAAAATCGTGTACCTTGGATGCCCTGGGATTGAGGGAATTATCAATATGACTTGAGCCATAGGTTTTCTTCTACCCCTATCGAGAACCACTAACTTCTTAAAACCTTAAATTCATTTAGTTTTGTGTGGCAGAGCCTGTACCAAATTTTGAATTTGCAAACCTTAATCTCTCTTGTTTAAATCAAACATGTTCTGTGAACTTTTTTTTTTCGGTTGGGGAACCCTTATAGACAAGCTGTTACATTTTCTAAATATATGTTTATTGGGTTTGGAACCATACAAGTTTCATCATGGAGACTACGCAAACTCAAACAAATATTTACTGGGTATGTGATTCAAATAAGCAACTCACTTTTAGCCTAAATAATATGCATGCATACTTAGATATGTCTTTGATTCAGGTGACCATGAACTGAAGAAATGTGTTATTTTAGACCCAGAAGTTACTTTTACAACTTGGAGTAAGGAAGATGAATGTTTGATACTGGCGAGCGATGGCCTGTGGGATGTGAAGTCTAACAAGGAGGTGATGAGGTTCACCCGCGTGATGCTTAGGGACTAGGTTGCACGGACACTCCAAAACTCTAAAGTGTCGGAGTGACGGACATTTTGACATGCCGACACACCTTAGACACGCTCCCGACACAACTTGGACATGGTCAATGACTTGTACACGGTCAAGACACAGTTTGGACACAATCAAGACACGACATGGGCCTTTTTGTAAATTTAAAAAACATTTTGGGGTAGTTTTGGAAATATAGAAACTAAACCTAAAAGAGTCCCCGACCTCAACCTAATTTGTTGCTTACTTTTATTTAGGAAAATGAGTACCTAATTTGTTGCTTAATTTTATTTAGGAAAATGAGTAGTACTTTGTTATATGAATTCGAAGTATTGTTTTTAATATATGTAATATTTACTATATTTTAATCGTCATGACCTAGCCATGTTTGTGTTCTTGTTTTTTGAGATTTGTCTTGTTGTCATATCAATGTGTCATGTGTCGCCGTATCCATGTCTGTGTCTATACTTAGGGACAAACGTAGGAAGTTGGTGCTGGGAACCGAACATTCACAAAGCCCTGTCCAATATGTTGCTGAAGAAATAGCAAGGGCTGCATTCTACACTAGTCATGATAATATTTCAGTAATCGTCATCGACCTCAGAGGCCTAGAAGGAGGCCTCAACAGAGGGTTGCGGATGCATGATGTTGATAGAAGTTCGATAAAGCGATGGACTACAATGTGAAGAACTTTGAAGGTGGTGATGTCGAAAACATGGATTAGAAAGCAGGAACAAGGCTCTATATACTCTTTCTTCTTGACATATGGTACCATGTATGTATAAGTATTGGAAGGATAAAACTTATTTCAAGGAATTTCCGAATTAAAACAATTCGGGCAGTCTTCAAAATCAATTAGTAATTTAACAATGTAGTTTAGATATTTAATTAGAATAATTCTCCAATTAGCCTTGCGGCTTCTTTTGCATGCTTATTTGGCTTATACAAGCATACAAATGTAGATCCTGGTGAGGAAAATGGTCTAGGGAGGATACGGTCTTGTTCACCCTCAAACTGGAACCGGAATCGTAAATGATCATTGATTTGGTTTGGTTTTACATAAAATTATTATGAAAACTGTCCGGTTTGGTTCATGTCGAACCTGGTTCGGTTTCACTGGTTTACGGTTCCCACAAAATTTAATATTTCTTTTTCGGATCCTTGTACTTCGATACCAAATCCTTACATTTCAACCACAAATTGAACAAAAATTTAGCCTCTACCGGAGATCTTCAACCTATAGATATCAATCTACAAGGTTTTGATATGTGATGCATGAATCTGTCACTGATGATGATACTAGAAGGTGTAGTACCGTTAAGTTTCTTAAACAGTGTAGTACCGTTATGTTTCATAAACAGTGTAGTACCGCTAAGTTTCATAAACAGTGTATTAAGTTTCATAAACAATATAGTAAGTTTCATATAGTTTGTGTGAGGATGCGCAAGTCCACGTGTCAGTTTTTTTTTTTTTAATATTAAAATTATATTTTCATTAAAATTTAAGTTCTTTTATCATTTTTATTAAAATTTAAGAGTTTTTCATTAAAATTTAAGTCTTTTTCATTAAATAAAGTTATAGCATGATTTTTTTATTAAAATAAACATAGTCCAAACCATTTTCATGAAAGTTCCTTAATAATTAATATAAAAAAAGAGAGAAAATGATTCCAGCTGGTTCGGTTCGATTTGGTCGATTCTCTTAGAGGTAAGAATCGAAACCGGTTCAAGTTGGTTCAATTCGATTCTTGGACCAAAGTTGACTTTTTTCTCAACACGATTCTTTTTGTTTGTTTTTTCTTTTTTATCCAGTTCGGTTCGATTTCTCGATTCCATGGTTTTTATGCCCACCCCTAACACGAGCTCCTCACATTCAAGCCTTCACAATGTGTTAACAGTGTATGATAGAGGTATACGAGAAACTTTCCTCTAGAGCAGAGACATTCTGTTAAGTCATCAGCAGCTATATAGTGCGGTTGCTGCCTTAATTTAAATAATTTCTAAAAGAAAATGGGATTCTTAATTCTTATGATGAAGATTTGCAGAATTGATGCTGCAAGAGAACAAAAAGCAACCTTAAAGGTAAGGTTCTGTATGATTTCATGCATCAATGCCCACAAAATTTGGATTATTCCAAGGAGGGAGCTACATTCTTGTTTAGGAAAGAATTATTTCGAAATTTGGAAAGAAGTGTATTTTCTCTAGATGTTCCTGTAGCAGCTAATTCTTTGACATTGCAGTCCCAAACCATTGGCTTTAGGGGTAGTCTCGTTGCACTCCCAAACCATTGGCTTCACATACAAGGACGACAAGCTTGGAGGCCCCCTAAGTCCCAACCTTGAAACTGTTTCTCGGGTTGTTCTACTAGACAAGTTCATCAATGATACTTCAACATGTTCACCTACAAAACCTTGTTCCAACTAATTTCACATTTTGCAGAGGCCGTGCTGAAGGTGTTTAGGTTAAATGATACTTACAAAGAAGCTGGCATGGTCTTAATAATTACTGCATGAACTATTTTCATGAGTATGCATATGCAATTGTTAATTAAATTTTAAATCTTCCTAACACAATATTGCCTACAGTACTTAAAGGTTGCTCTTGCATCATTAGTTCTAGAAATTTTTTATAATGCTTTGGGAGCTTGATACTCCGGATATTTAACCGTTAAATTTTAAATCTTGTATTTTAGTTCCATTTTTATGGAAAAAAGGTCATGCATCCTGTTCGTGGCGGGAATTTCCGTGGGGAATGCTTCCTGTCCGACAAACACACAACTCCCCGAGAGGTTAGCGCCGGTTGATGCTTTATGTCGGGCTTCTGCTTTACTGGCGGGCTTGTCGGGCAAAGCTTGTCGGGAAAGGCTGAAAGAGAAGGACAGAGTTAACTTTGAAAGGTGCCCTTGTGAGGCCTTAGGTGTAGGCATTGAGGCTCACAATCAAGATTAACTTTTAAGCGCTCAGGCGTGCCACTGCCATCTTCAGCATGGCAGATGTAGAACGAATGTTTAAGTTTAATTATATATATTCGAGAGATTATGTTAGTTATTGACATGTGCCTTTGTGGGGCCTTAGGTGTAGGCCTTGAGGCTTCCCATAAAAAACTAACTTAGTACTCGAACACATAAGGTTCCTTTTCTTGGTTATATGGGTCTTATAACCATCATACTTCTGATTACCTGAGCTCAAAGAGCAGAATGAATCCAAATAGGTGCCTTTGTGGGGCCTTGAATAGGCTTTGAGGCTTCCCATTAGAACCCCTTCTATACTCAATGTTCTTGCCCGAGAAATAGGATGAATCGAAATAGGTGCCTTTGTGGGGCCTTGAATAGGCCTTGAGGCTTCCCATCATAATTCATCCCGTCCCCGAACGTTATATGGTAATCATAATATAACAGCAATAAAACTAAGTGACAGGTCGATTACTTGCGCCCCA